CCTGGAGGACTCTTCTCCTATCATCTGGTTTTATATTTATCATTCTATACAGGTTGGCATATGAGAAGAAAATCACATTTTGAAAATAGAAAATACTTCATAGTTTTTTTTTGCAAAATATTTTGTAAATTGCAAATGCAAACACAAAAGTTTCTATTGCGTTTGGCGTGTGGCGTGTATTGTATATATATTATGATCTTAGGTATGCAATTTCCATCGATTTGGGACTAGTAGTATATGTTAATTAGACCTTGAGGCTCATTTCATTTGATGAATAGATTTATAACTAATAAGACATATTTTCATAAAATACTTCATGTTGTGAATTGATTTGGAAAAAGATACACTAAATATAAATCCAAAGTCGAAAACAAATAATGTAGAACTGCTAAAATCTCATGATTTGTGAAACATTTTGAAGGCGGGATTTGCTGGAGATGATGAACCAACAGCTATATTCCCAAACATTGTGGGTCGCCCCACGGGATTGAATGAGAAGGAATACTATGTGGGAGACGAAGCTCAGGCCAAAAGAGATAATCTTACTCTTCATTACCCGATGGAGAATGGTATCATCAAAAATTGGGATGACATGGAGAAGATTTGGCACCATGCTCTCTACGATGCGTTGCGTGTGGCTCCTCAAGAACATCATGTGCTTCTCACTGACTCTACTATTCTAAACCCAAAGTCCTATCACGAGAAGATGACTCAAATCATGTTTGAGACCTTTGATATTCCTGCTATGTATGTGGCCATCCAACCCGTTCTCTATCTTTATTCAACTGGTCTTACCACAGGTACGTAACTGCATTTGAAGTTTCAAAAATTCTAAATTAATATCTTTAAGAGAACCTAAATTTTATTAGTTTGTGAGCTTGGATTTGATAGTTTCTCTAGAGATGATATTTACATTGTTTTTTTAACTAATCATTAACACATGGAACTCTTGCGAATCTGGGTTTTAGAGTACCTCCAACGCATGATTCTTTAGGAGTATCTAATATTAAAAAATTAAATGAAAAAAAGAGGAGAGAGAAGGATACCCTCCTCTCTTTTGAGAAAGTTATTAGACACTCTTTTACCATTTGTCCACTTGTTATTGGTTTAATCTTTTGTATTGAATTTTATCATTTAATTATATTAAAGACACTAGTATTTGATTGTTGAGAAACTCTAGAGAGTATCTTAACCGTTGAAGGTGCTCCTAGAAATCTCAACTATAGGAATGTCCTAGAAAGCGCCAGTAGACCAAAATCAACTTAGTAATATATTTTTATCCAAGGTAGAACATTAAATGCCA